TGATGTGTACCAGCTCATTTTCCTTTTAAACCAAGGATGGAGCAGGCTGATTTGCATACTGGGCCACAGGGGAAGATTTCTGTGCCTGCGGGTCTTTTCTGTCATCAGAAGGTAAGGCAGAAATCAAGTTGGCTTCCTGAAGTCCTAGGTGCCCAAAGCAAACCACAACTCATCCCACGCCACCTTGGCTTGTGGCAATCAACATAAATGCACTGTGGATTTATTTTAGGCCTGGGGATTTACCCAGCAGGTACATATTGTATACAGTATGGAAATCTCCCCACCCTCACATCCTGCCTAGCTCATAACATCTCCCCTCACTAGGCTGCATACTCACTGAAAAAGCTGTCTCTCTGCCTTGCTTTTCAAAATAATACATGGGGAACAAAAGATACTGACTTGAAACTTCTTCCCACCATAAATGTACAGGTAGTCTTCAGTGACTTGTAGTCTTATGTGTCTATATATACTCAGTATAAGTACAGCTTGTATTTTCATTCTTCAAATCTCTTCAACATTGGGCCAATTTAAAATGTAAAAAAAAAATCCTTAGAACTATGGTTTTGAACTTTCCCTATTTTCTTCAAAACTTATAGTTTAAGCTCTTTACTTAAGCCAATGGTTCATTAAAAGTAATTTTTTAAAATGTCATACAGGGTCGGGTTTTTTTGTTGTATTTGTTCTTACTTGCTTTTATCTTTCTTGTTTTGAAAAAATATTATCCTACTGTATTAAATATCTTGGGAGCTGTGATAAAAATCGATTGACATGTGAGACTATTTCTCAACCTACCTATATAGCCCTATATATCTGTCTTCATTGCCTATTACAGAGGTTCTTGATTGAAATAGTGTTAAGTCTTGAAATCAGGTAGTGAAACTATTTTTGTTCTTTTAAAAATTGTTTGGCTATTCTATGTCTGGTGAATTCACAAATAAATTTCATAATAGACTTGATAACTTCTATTTTTAAAAAAGAATTGTGGTTTTAACATTTTCCTTACTACAAAATAATTACTATTGGCTAAATATAGTGATAAATATTATTAGTTTCACCATTCACTGAACTCATTCACTATTACCCTATCACATATTTATCTGCCCTCCTCCTATTGTCTCTGTGGCTTCAGTCTATGTTCTCTTACTAGTTGTAACTCCTCTGAAGTTAGGATCAGAGCTTATACATACTCCATCATATTTCTTGTTAAAAAAAGTTACCCCAAACTTGTACATAGAAAACATGTAAAGCAGGAAACATATATTTTCAATATCTTTAAAATTCTGTGTAAGGATCATTTAATTATCTAAGAGAATGAAAGAAGAACATGGAATTGTGTCAACCAGTCAAAACTGGTGTTGCAAGTACTTTTAATAGCTTCAGTGAGATATTTTTCATACAATATAAAATTTATCCCATGAAAGTGTACAGTTCAGTGATTTTTAGTATATTCCCAGAATTGTACAACTATCACAATTTAATTTTAGAACATTTTCAACACCCCAAGAAATCTGTTACTGATTAAAAGTCTTTGCTCTGTGAAGTTTCACAGTAACTTGTAGATCTCCATTCAGAATCAATGCAAATGATTAATGTTTGGTAGAAAAGGTAAGCCCCAAGGTTATAATTTTATTGCACTGGAGACATTTGACCAGTTTTGCAACTAAATTGGCAATGATACTTCACCATTCTTTCTCTATTGCCAATGCCTGTTCCTTTAAATGTCCTTTGAAGCAGCTTTATTGTATTGGTTCATCCACCATTGATTAATTAGATTAAATCTTTGACATAGGATCTTTCTATATTTGTGTCAGGTTTGTATTTTAAAATGTCTGAAACATATTTTGACAAACTGAATATTTTTAGAATAATGATGAATACAGAGTGGATGATCAATAACAATATCTTGATTGACTGGCGTTCTGTCATATTTTAAACTCTGGAAGAACACAATGAATTTTCACAAGGTTTTAAAAATCCGAAAATGAATTTAAACATTATTTTGGACTTTCATCCTCCAATTCTTAAATTTAGTGTCAGAATTAAATTTGGATGAAGCTATGTACTGACTTTATTTCTAATAACAAGGCTTGAGTCAATGAATAAATATTCTAAGAATATATTTTTAATGGTGCAATATTTTTACAATCTATAAACCAAATATTATTTATTTGTGTAGAGGTGGTAGTATATACAGTGGAACAAAATTTGAAAAGTTTAAAAGGGAATACTTTAAAAATAGTCCCTCTCCTTCTATTTCTCTCATATGACAAGTTGCCCCAAGATAGCTCCTATTATCAGTTTCATGTGCATCTTTTCTCTCTCCTTCTTTCCCTCAATTTTTTATTCAGACCTATATGAAATATTATGGGTGCTATTTTACAACTTGCCTTTTCACTAACATTTACTGAAAATTGTTCAACATAATAATTGCCTCAACTGAAATGAGTCTAGAGGCTGGTCACTTTTCATTACTTTCACTGCCACTACACTTCTTCCTACCACCATATCTTGCAGGAGTTGCTGATTCTCCATTCCTGTCCCCCTAGCACCTATACAAACTCTTTTAAATATGGCAGCTAGAAAGATCATTTTATATGTGGATCAGATCATCTTCCATTCAGAGCAAAGCCAAAGACTACAATGGCCTACAATACCCATTCATGGAATTTGCTTCTCTATTATCTCCCAATTGCCTATTAGCTTCATCTCCAACCACCCTTTCCCTAATTCACTTCATTCTTTCCCTGTCCCTCCTTGGAGTTCCTCAAACATACCAGCCATCAGGGTCTTAGGCTTTTGCTATACCCTTTGACTGACAGATCTTCCTCAAGATGTCTACATGCCTTTTTCCCAGACCTCTTTTATGTCTTGGCTTGAAGGTCACTTATAATTGAGCCTTCCTTAAATACCACCTCCCCTTCTCCTGCACACACTCCCATCCCACATACCTACTCATCTTTCTCCATAGCCTGTACCAGCACTGGACATACCATATAACTTACTTGTTTACTGTCTATATCCAAGATAAATATCCATAAGGCCAAGGATATTTGTCTATTTTATCTACTGCTATATTCTCAGAACCTAGAACAGGGTCTGGCACAAATCATGCATTTAATAATATTAACCAAAAGAATGGATGAACTTATTCTGCATGGTAATTGTATATTTTTGCTCTATTAATGTGACTTAGTGTAGTACAATTTAACTTTTGCCATATTTTGTAACTTTCATAACTTTTGGTTTCTTGTGACCTCAGTGAAGTTGAGTCTTGTGAAGTTTTGTGAGTCTTGTGAGTCTTGTTAGTCTTATGAAGACTCAGTGAAGTCTGAGTCTCAGTGAAGTTGAAGTTGAGTCTTCTTTAAGTCTTGACCTTTTCCTCAAAAATATAGGGATAATAGTTATACCTATATTAAATATAGTTATACCTATATTTAATCCTATTGTGAGGATTAAATTTTTTTAAAATGTGAAGCAGTTAGAACTATGCCTAGCTTATAGTAAATTCTCAATAATATGATCATGTTATCCATCATTTTTATGATTCACCTGAGAATTCTATATCGTCGACTATCCTATACATAATAACATAATGATAATATTAATATATGGTAATATAAGTAGAAAGGGAAAATCAACTTTTTTAAATAGTGTTGACTTTTAGCAATTATCCCCTCATAATACAAAAGAAGACACTTTGTTCTTTCTTTAGAGAAGTAACTCAACATCTTTAGCTCTTCATATTTTAGCTCTTCAGGGGTAAAGAAATTTATTATTGCATTTCCCTTTCTATATGGCCCCAAAACAAAATACTTGTTCATTAAATTTTGTTGGATGAATAAATGAATGAATAATAAATCTCATTGAACATAATTTACTGAAAAGTTGAAATGTGCTAGGCACTGGAGTAAACACGAGGGATATGAAAAAGAACATTTTGTCACTGAAGTTCATTTCAAGACCTCCACATAGGAATCACTGCATATGGGGGATGTGCATTTATTTCAGAAGTAGTTTTCTAAGTGGGGGAGGGGGAATTTGGATTCATCACCTTGTGTAAAGTAAAAAGAAAGGCTCCAGGAAGTTGTCTTTGCCACAATTTCTCTGAAGAGCTTTTCAAAGAAACAAAATGTCAATGATTTATCAAAAAGACATAAGGGTAAAGGAGTAGGCATACCAGTATGGGAAATCCTATGGTGATTCAGGACCTCTATGAACTCCTGTGGTTCCCAGTTATGTCCCCACACATATCGCTAACTGCCACATTTGTGTAGAACAAGATTATAACAGTGAGCTATGCAGCTTGAGGTAGAGAAAAACTTCCATCTTGGGTTCTAAGATCTGGATTAGAATCTGGTGCTGGGTTAGAATCTGACCCTAAGCAAGACTACAAAGCCTCAGTTTTCTCACCAGAAACTTATGTTTTTGAAAAATTAATCTCCTACAGATGAGAAAATGGTTGAGAAAATTGTCTATATCCTGAAAACCACTGTAACTGTAAAGACTCTGGTTCTGACAGGTAGCAGCAGCCCCTCTGGACCATTCATTCAATAGCCACCGTGTGCCTGCCAGCATTTAAATTATTTACACACAGAGGAATGAAATCACTACTCTTGGCAGGCATACAGTCTACTTCCAGGATCTTAAACCAGAAAGTAATTCAGCTGAAACAAAAATACATTTGCTGGACGATGGTCTTGGAGGAGTATCTGTACCACCAGAAGTGAATAAATACAAACTAGATATTTACGATAGCAGCATGGTTTCATAACCCAACATTTTGGTTAAAAAGAACATCCAGCCTACCCTAGCAGGATCAGCCTGCCCTTGTGGAGGTGGTGGTATATTTGCAGACAGGCTATTGACCCAGCCTTGAGAGGGTAGCTGCTCAGAGGTGAGGACAAAGGGGTGTGTGATGGTGACAGGTCACAAAGGACAGGAGAGGATAAATAAGGTGGTTTGAAGAGACAGAGGCAGAAGCCTTGCAGGGAAATGGGCAGTTGCCATCATTCCCTCTTCTCTCTTAGGGACTCAAATTGTGGCTGGCAAAGATGTCTGGAATAAAGAGACCCAGGAGTAGCGAATGTGTGTTACCTTACTACACAGCCCACAGCTACCGTTCAATGGGTGTGTTCAATACCTCCATGGGGGACCTGCAACGACAACTGTACAAGGGAGGAGAGTATGACATTTTCAAGTATGCACCCATGTTTGAGAGTGATTTTATCCAGATTACCAAAAAAGGAGAGGTGATTGATGTTCACAACCGTGTTCGAATGGTGACAGTGGGCATCGCCTCCACCAGCCCCATCCTTCCACTACCTGACGTCATGTTGCTGGCCAGACCTGCTAAAGTCTGTGAAGAGCATGCCAGACGTGGCCGGCCCATTAAAGGGAGAGGACGGAAGTCTGCGAAGACTCTAGAGCTCACCAGGCTACTTCCCTTGAAGTTTGTCAAGATCTCCATCTACGATCGTGAGAAACAGCAACTGCGTTTGAAGCTTGCCACAGGCCGGACTTTTTATCTGCAGCTTTGTCCCTCTTCAGATGTACGAGAAGACCTCTTCTGCTACTGGGAAAAGCTTGTCTATCTTCTGAGGCCACCAGCAGAGAGCTGCAGCAGTACCCCAACAATTCAGACTGGGGACAGAAATATTGAGGATGACAAAAGCCTACTGGTAAGTATTGACTCAGGAAAATGAGGCAGAGTGCTTTGGGAGAGCATCTCAAAGTGGGTCCTAGAAAGTTTTTTGTTGCTCTCTGGGGCTGAGCTGGGAAATGCACTGCATTTGAAAAGGCTCAAGGCCAAATGAGCCACCACTAGGGGCTCAAGTAGAGGTTTAAAGCGCTTCTCCAAAATGTCCCATAAGATTGGTTGTCAAGAGATCTTATGTATTAACTACTCTGTCGCACACCTGGGGTTTTAGTCCCTTCTATGACATTCTGATTGCATAATCTCTTCTTGAACTCTTAATACACAAACCCAGTCAGCCTAATTTGTTATGGACATTTTTAAAATATATTTTTATTTTTGGTGCATAAAATTGTACCTATTTATGTGTACAGTATGACATCTCAATGCTTGAATACAATGTGTAATGATCAGATCAGGGTAAATGGCCTACCCAACACTTAGACATTTGTTTCTTTGTGCTAGATTCCTAAATCCTCCAAAATCCTATTAGCTACTTTGAAATATAAAGCTAATTGCTACCAACTATGGTCATGCTATAGTGATATAGAACACTAGAGGTTATTCCTCTTGTCCAATTATACCCCTATATGTGTTAATCATCTTCTCCACATCCCTCCTTCCCTATATCCTTCTCATGTTCTGGTAACCACTAATCTACTCTCTACCTCTATGAGATCAACTTTTTAGTGTAGTACATTTTAGCAATTAGGAAGTGCTTCCTTCATCTGAACCATGTTTGCCTTTCCATGATTATCATGCACTGATTTTTCTTTAAATCAACACAACCCACTTGTGTGCATACACATGCAAAACTTGCTTCTGTAGCCACCAACATGTAAAATGTATCTCCTGACTCAATAATCCCACTTCTAGAAATCTGAAAAGGTAGAGGCACATGTATGTAAAAGAAATTGTACAGGGATGGGGACTTGATTCTGTGTTTTCTTTGGAAATAGAATGGTTGAAGTGAAACTGAGTGATTATTCACAGAGATGCTACTCTTGTAACAAACAAGAGCTTGCAAAGGTTGCAAGGTTCTTCCTATGATAATATCTTGAGTTGCTCAGCTCCAGGATGAAAAAGGAATGGAAAGTTCTGGCCTCTCCTTTTCTATCTCACCTGTTTCTCCTCTCCTTGGCACAGGCCTCAGACATCCATGGAGAAGGAGATCAGGATTCTGGGCTTCTAAAGCTTCATGAACTGTCTGGAGCCTCCTCTTCTGCTTATGCTGGAGGAGAGGGACTTCAAGGTGCTATTGCAGCTGTCATCAGCACTTCGGGATCTACCAAAGAAGGAGCAATAGCAGGGACAACAGGTGGCTTGACTGTTGCAGGGGCAGCAACAGGAGGTGGGTCAGCAAACAGCCCTGCCTCAGGTGCTCTAGGTATAGCAGCCACCATGCCTGGAGGTGGAGGCTCCAGCCCGGTAACTGCAGCCCTGGCAGGAGCAGCCACCAAGGATGCAGGAGAAGCTGGATCTAGCAAGGCTTTAGCAGTTGCTGTCTCCTCAGAAGAAGTGAATGTAGCCTTGGCCGGTGCTGCAAGCGGTTCCACTGGGCAAAGCTCCTCAGGTGGAGCTGTCAGCATCTCCCCAGGCAGCAGCATGAGTGTGGTGTTTGCAGGGACTGTAACGACCAGTACAACAACCAAGACAGGAAAAGATGAAGCAGCTGCGGTGGCACCCCTCGTATCAACCTTGCAGAGTGAAGGCTATATGTGTGAACGGGATGGAAGCCAGAAGGTTTCCAAGACCAGCAGTGAAGGCCGGAAGGAAAAAAAGGTAAAAAAAGAAAAGAAGGACAAACATGCCAGTAGGAAAAGTTCCCGGCACCGGAGAGCAGGTGAAACCCATCACAAGGCAAGCAGGGAAAAGAGCCGGAAATCATCCTCCCATCGGTCTGTATCTGAACACCACGGAAAAACAAAAGATGACAGGAAAGACAAAGGGCACAAGAAAGGACGGGGCTCATCTCACAAAAGTGCCAGCCATAGTTCTTCTACCAAGGAGTCCAGGAAAATTCACAAAGTGGGGAAGAGCCGATCTTCAACTAGTTCAGTTAACTTAAGTAAGAAATCCAGTAAAATTGGCTCTTTTTTGAGGAGCTTCATGGTTATGCCCAGTTCAAAAACAGTTGTTACATCACGTGATAGAGAGCTAGACATCGTGACCAAGACGGTAGAAAAGCACAACATAGAGAGGAAGGTGGAGAGAGCCCAGGAAGGCAAGGATCTAGAGATCTCTGGTACTGTGACATCTGAGATGACAGAAAGGTTCATCTTTGAAGCCAAATCCATTTAAATAGAAGCTAGAGCAGGAAGCTGTGAGATCAAGGGCTCAGAAGGTATACCCAGTGAGCCAATTTTAGTTTTCCTGACTGCAGTTTAAATAATAAAGGTCACACAACTCCAAAATAATGCAATTTTCTTTTTGAATTTCTCTATCCCACAGCCTGGCAATGACCTCATAGTGGCCTCTGTGACATTACCTATGCTCCAGGCAGGTAGAGCCTCTCACCAGAAGTGCAGCAGAGCCAGTGTGAGGCAAAAGCTTCAACCCTTTCTGCCTTTGGTTCTTTAAGACTATGGAGGTCATAGACTATGGGATGAATGCCCCCCACCAGGTCCCCATGGCCATCCTCCCTTTCTTCTGAAGGTCTGTGAACATGAACATTCAGTCCAGTTCACAAACTCAGAAAAGACAGTCTTCATAAACCCACGAGAAAAAGGGAAAGGGTATAGTGGCATTTGAATGCAATGAGGATAGGGGATTCTATCTAGATTAGGGATTGGCAGACCATGTTCAGAGGACCAAATCTTGCCACTGCTTGGGTTTGTGAATAAAGTTTTACTAAAGTGTAGGCACAGCCTTTCAATTATATACCATCTATGGCTGCTTCCACACTGAAATGACAGATTTGCATTGTTGCCAGAGAGACTATAAGGATCACAGTCTACAAATATTTACTATCTGGCCTACTACAGAAAAAGTTTGCTGACCTCTGACCCAATCTTAACAATCCTCCTTCCTCCTATGTAAATACACAGGACAAACTCTCAAAAATGCTTACCAGGAGATAGGAGAATGTTTATAGTAAGATCCTTTTAACAGCAAGATCCTGGAAAGAGCTCAAATTTTCATCAAGCAAAAGAATTGATAAAACTGGTATATGCCTGCAGGGCCCATTAGACAGCAGTGAAAATGAATAGCAGCCATTCACCTTAGCATGGATGAATCTTACACAATGTTGAGTAACAAAATAAAAAAATACCTTGACATTTCATCTGTAGGACAGTTCAAAAATAAGATCAAACAATGGTCAGTGGTGCATGTTTTCTGAAAGGAGAAAAAAATTAAGGAATGATAAACACAAAATTCAGGACAGTGGTGACATACAGGGTGAAAGGAGTGACATGTAGGAGGCAGACAAATTTCAACAGTGTGAATTGCCATATTAAGCAAGAGGGTGTATCCATGGGAGTTTATTATTGTGACTTTAACATCTTTGAAATCACATGGATTTTAAATTACTGTCAGCTAAGGGGCAGTTGTATATCATTGTCACTACTTTAGAAATACTTTAATCAAATTATTTCACTTATGTTTTCATTTTTATATGTGCACAAGAGAGGTTTGTGACAAACTAATTCTGAAAGATCTTTTGAAAAGTTTAAAATGAAAATTCTGACATAAAAAGAACATGTGGAATTCAGAAATATGGAAAGTGTTTAAATATATTAGTATGAAATAATAGGAGGCCAAGGGTATAGCCGAGAGGTAGAGCACTTGTCTAGCATGTATGAAGCCCTGGGTTTGATCCCTAGTACTGAATAATAATAATAATAATAATAATAATAATAACATCCAAAATACTATGTAGTAAATAGCTATATAAATTATGTATGTCTTAAAAGTGATTCTAAAAATTTAAAACTTATTCCACATTAGAAATGAGAATATAAATTAAAAAAATCTCTATTATAAAAAGTTGCATTGGGGCAGGGGTTGTGGCTCAGTGACTAGCATGGGTGAGACACTGGGTTTGATTCTCAGCACTACATATAAATAAATAAAATAAAGGTCCTTTGACAATTTTTTAAAAAAGGATTAAAAAATTGTTTTTTGTTTGTTTTGTTTTGTACCAGGGACAGGGTCTCACTAAGTTGCTTAAGCCTATCCTAAGTTCCTGAGGCTGGCTTTGATCTTCCTACCTCAGACTTTTGAGCCACTGAGATTATAGGCATGAGCCATCATGCCCAGCTGCATTTTGTTCTTTAATTTTTAAAAATGATAAATTCATGAGTCTATGGAAAGACTCCATCTTTAAATCTTCTCAGAGAATACAACCTATGCCATTTAGTGTAATATTCCTTCTGATTTCACTAAACTTGTGAAAAGAGTTAGTGATAGCCAGAAAAAGCATAATGTAGCATGGATGATTTTGATTTTAAGTAATTTTAAAATGGAGTACATTTCCTTGTTACAAAAAATAATGTAAAATAATCTATTTCTAAATCTATTTTTAGAAAATTTAGAACACATAGATATAAAAAACAGGAAAACAACAACAGATGATAAAAATTGGATTTGAGAAAAATGACTGTGGGAAGTTTGTATACTTCTATGAGCCTGAGTGGGGAGACCTACCCAGCCTTGCAACTCTTGGCTTATTCTCTTCTATGACACTAGCATCTATGAGGACAAAATTTGAGTTTATAGAAAAACTTAGGGATCTTCTCCAAAGAAACAAATGTGTGTTCAGAGGTGGAGAAACTCATAGGTATTCTAGGAGGAACAGTGGAGTGCTAGTATAGGGGAGACCTTTCATCATTGTTCTGGTGGGTGGATAGAAAATCCCATTTTGTGATTTCCAATACTCAAAGACTAACAGGTACCAGAAATTCAAATGTCCTTGGAGTTGACACCTGAATAGTGGGCATAGGTAGAAGGAGGGAAAGAGATACATTTAAGGTCTGAGAGGATCACTGGGGAAGGCCCCCTAGGAATTTGAGTGGTTGCATATGAAGTCGAAGAAAAGGGAAATTTTTCCAAACCTTTGGCATACAGTCTCAAATTTACTTCTATGCCAGATGCTGAAATATTCAGACTACAAATACCTTAACCTTATGATTGTGCAGACCATGGCTTTATCTTTTGTTCTTCTCCTAGTGCTGTTTTAAACACCTTGCCCCCTTGAAGGGCTTCTTTAATGTGAACATAGTTTATCTAACATGTAAGGTGTTGACTGAATAGACCCACAATTTTAAAAAATGCCACTAAAGTGAAGTGGAAGTGGGGACCTGCCCACCACAGTGTGCTCTGCCAGGCACTTTCTCTGCATTTCCTTTTCTATCTTGACAGTTCATCACAAAATACCTAAGTATTTCAAAGCAACAGGCCTTTTCCTCCAGAGAAAAATATCAATTGGGGCATCAAGTCAATACCCCTATCAGATAAAGGACAATATTTTTAGCAACAATATTCATCACCACGGTAGCAATTCAGCACCTGCAAGTCTAATGAGACAAGATGGTTGATTACCAACAGGTGTCCCCAAATTAAAGTCTGGCATACACACATAAGTACAAAAATAACAGGGAGCTTTTGCCAACAGCAATGTAAGATCACTCATGGGGTTGTCATGTTGGAGTGGAGTCTTTAAAGCAGAGGAAACATATGCTATGGAAAGAAGAAAATAAGGTGCCTGTCATGGGTGGCAGGGTAAGAGAGGTAAGAGAGATGCCAGAGAGAGAGGACAGGCTCAGATGATGTAAGGCTTCAAGATCCATTGTCCTTGGTGTAACAAGAGGCCACCAAAGCATTTTAAGTTAGGAAATGACCATATCAGGTTTGCACCTTTAAAAGGTCACAGTGGTTGCTGTGAGGAGAAATATTGGGGAAGGGGGTCATTACTATGTGACTTTTGTCACTTCCTGTCTTTTGCAACAGGATCTAGAAAGATTAGAAGTGATATTCTCAAATACTTCCCATTAGAAACATCTTTATAGACAGACTTAGGGATGTACCACATGGATGCTCCCTCAATGAAGGGCTTGTGGCCCCAGGTGCTGGGCATGGGCCCATTCACAGCCATCAGCTGGAAGTTAACTATGGAAGCTGCCTCAGTTGTAGAGAACTCCCTCATCCAGGTAATGGTCTTCCCAGAGTCCACATGCAGAACTAGACAAAGTCATGTATAAAGCTTGGCTATCCCAGAGCAGCACAGATCAACCTGGAAGGGCTCTCTTATTCCCAGAGCTTCCTTTGAAGCCTGTATCCAGGCTGACTTCTCTGTGCACTCATATCTCATCCATGTCTCTTCCACAGGTGAAGGTCCTGAGATTACTTCCCACAACTCCACCTTGAAGTCTTCTCAGAGAATACAACCTATGCTATTGTGTTAGTGTAATATTCCTTCTGATTCCAATACACTTGTGAAAAGAGTTGGTGACCGCCAGAAAAAGCATAATGTAGCATGGATGATTTTAAGTAATTCTAAAATGTAGTACATTTCCATATTAAAAAAATACAAAATAATCTATTTCTAAAATTTGTTTTAAAAAATTTAGAACACATAGACATAAAAAAGAAGAAAACAAATATCCCAACCATTGCCTTGATCATTCACTGTTTACTCAAAACTGGGCAGGCTACACTTAACACTTCCAGAAAGATGAAGTAGACCAGGGGCAATACGGAACTTTCACTTTCGTTTAGCCAGTCAAAGATGCCCCAAGATCTAGGGGTGTGAACTGAGGCCAAGTAGGAAATGTGGATTTCTACAGCCCTTAAAAAGTGAGTGCTAGTGCCCCGCCCTCAATGTCAGAAGAAACCTGTTAATCAAAAATCACTTGTTATACCAAGAAGCAGGAATATCTAAAACCAAATGAAAAAAAGATAATCTATAGATGAAAACACCAAGATGACAGAGATGTTAGAATTATCTGACAAATATTTTAAAGCATCCATAAGAGAGAAATTAGAAATACACACACACACACACACACATATGTATGTGTATACATATATTGGTACCAGGATTGAATTCAAGGATGCTTAACCACTGAATGAACACAAAAATCCAGCCCTTTTATTTATTTATTTTTTTTGAGACAGGGTCTCAGTAGGTTGCTTAGGACCTTGCCAAGCTGTGCTGAGGCTGGCTTCGAGCCTGCAATCCTCCTGAGCCGGATTATAGGTGTGCACCACCACACCCACCTAGAAATATTCTTGAAAGAAATGAAGAAATAAAAATCTTCAGCAAAGTAAAAGAGAGTTTCAGCAAAGAAATAATAATAATAAAAGATGTACAGAAGAATCAAGCGGAAATTTTAGAGCAGAAACTATTAAATGGTGTTTAGTAGTTTAAACTAGTTTAATAGTTTAAACTCTTTAAACAATTTAAAGAGCAGAAAACTTAATAGTTGAAAAAAAAGGGAAAAAACTTCAGTGGTTAGGTTTAATAGCAAAATGGATGGAGAATAAGAAAAGAATTAGCAAACTGAAGGAGAAAATAATAGAAACTACTCAGTCTGAACAACTCAGAGAAAATTGACTGGGAACAAATAATAGTGAACAGAAAGAGCTTCAGGGAACTGTGAGACTATAACAAAAAAATCTCACATTGCATCATCAGGCCCTGGAAGAAGAGGATAAAGGGCAAGGCTGAAGAAATACTAGAAGAAAAAATAGTAGAAAACCCTAAAACTTGGCAAAAGACATCAACATACAGATTCAGT